CTTCTGAGTGATGCATGATCTCTTGTAATGGAAGTTTTGATGTTTCCAGCTACATGAAATGTTGCACCTACAGTACTTACAAAGCTATAATAAATAAACTTTTTTTCTTTTGTGGATTCGAGTACATTTGACGAATCATTTCTAATTTTATGCAGAGGAAGCAGAATACTGTGACTAGATACAAACGCGAAACAGAGATTATAGCCCGAGGTCGCCGTGATCCTTGCGTTGTTTCGCAAGGTTTGTTTATGACATTTCATCTTGTCCACTAGCATCGTAATGTCTTTATGACTTCTGTGCATAGAAGTCATAATTTATTGGTTGTAGCAGTCTAATACTTGTTGTCTGTTTGCATGAGTTTGTCTGGGCATAAGGTTTGGCCAAGAGAGAGACAACTACATTGCAACAGCGTGTTTAGCTAAGCTTAAAAGGTTTACTTATAGGAAAATAAGTTAGTTTTATAACAAGTAATTCTATTGATCAAAACTGAAAATAAGTTATTTTGAGAGTAGGGCCAGAGGTACTTTCAAATCAAGGAAGCTTTTTTACTGATTCTAAGAAAAAATCAACTTATCCAAATACTTTTGGAAACAGAAGGCTACTTAAAATTAACATTTTTAACTTATTTTTAAGTAAGCCAAACATATGTATGTGTAGTGAGCTTTACTTGGATTAAGTTTGTTGAATCTTAAATATATTTACTGTAACAGTTTAACCCCCCAATGTTTTTCCAAATAACATGTTATTTTAAAGAAAGAAAATCTGGACGCTGCAGTTAGAACAGTGGATTAACTAAAAAGAGTGAAGACTGGACTTTATAGGATATTCATGATTGTTTGGTCATGATGCAGGTGTTCCAGTTGTGGAAGCCATGGTAGCCCTGGTGCTCGTCGATCAGTTAATGGCCCAATATTCGCAATGCATGTTGTTCCCTATTAATCCGGCATTGCAAGAACCTCTCCAACTATCGAAGGATAAGGAGTTGCAGGTTAAATTTTGATGCTGATAAATGGCTGACTGACGATTCTCCATGTTTTCCTTGCAATTTGCCTAACGACCTCACAACAGCAAGGTTTTTGCTTCTGTTCTATTTTGTTTTGTTTTCAAGAAAGATATTTTTCTTTTATTTTTTTTTTCTGATGGAAATTGAAGAACTGCTTAGCAATTTCTTGTTATGTAGCAGAGGCTTCTTTGTCTGTACGCCGTAAACAGAGTTATTAGTCGACATGCCACCTGCCAGCCATTAGGAAATTGAATTGTTCTTATTAGTGGGGAAAAAAGAACTTCGATTTTTCTTTCTCATTTGATCTTTTTCTCAAATTGGTGGAATTCCCCCTCACCCCTCTTGATTATCAGCTCCCCTTTCGATCAAGATGTTCTCAAATTTGAACATTTGCTACTGTTTATCAAAAGAATCTTAAAAAAAGAAATAGTTCTCACTGTACAAATGCTTAGGGCATGTTTGACAGAACTTTTATTTCTTGTAGAAGAGTTACCTGAAAAAGTTACATTAACTCAACTTCTTTTAAACGTTCTAGTCCGACAAACTATACATGTGGAAAATTATTTGAAAATGTTCAAAAGCAGCCATTTAGTCCCAGAATTAAACCTTTCAAATGTCCTATCAAATGGACTATTGTTTAACAATTCTATCCCATTTCTATTCTCTCTCTTGTTCAGGATAATGGGCTCTAATGTCAATGCCTAATTGGATGTGCGTTTTGTTGTGTTAGTGTCTTAAACGCATCTGACATGACTTTTGTTTTTTGTTGAAGAGTTTCATAAAAAGGCTACTGGTGACATACAAAAAATAAGGCCTAATTGAATGAGGCCCAATGATCGAATGAGGTCCAATTATTAAGTCAGACCCAATTATGTGGTCCAAGAAATGGAGTCCGGTTAGGGAAATTGAGGAATGAGACCATTGTAAAATATAATAACAGCCTACATGCAGAAGACTATCATTGCCCAAGCATGCAGAACGTCCAGAGTCTGAACGAATGAAGTACTCCAATGTCGCTCAAAATGACGGTCGCATTCTCGCCCAAGCCTTTGAGACACCCAAGGTCTGGAATGAATATAACGTTTTGTTAAGTTATTGAAGCGATTATTGAGCAACCTTATCACACCCTATTATCCAAGAATCTCGGTTATATGCGGTTAAACAAAAAAGAGTACTAACAACGGTTGCTAACGGCAGTTCCATGACAAACGAAGAAAGTGGGTAGTTATAGATTGATAAGCAGTTTTCAAGCAGTTTTACAAAAAGAAATCGGCAACGGAGTATAAAAAGGAAAATAAGATATAGGAGGACCCCAAATCAAACACTCTCAATAGAGAATATGTAATTTCAATTTATTTATTTTTCATTTGCATACTTTCAATTTACTTCGTGTGTTTGTGCTCCTTGAAGGCATTTTGCTTCCTTCCAATTGTAATCTTCATAAATAAAGCACAATTTTTTGGGATTTTGTCTCAAGAGGTTTGTTCCTTACATAATCGTCTGAACCTTTCTTTTAATTGTTAGCGATAACCCGCGCGAAACAATTTGGCACGTCCGGTGGAACATTGGTGTTTGAAGATACGAAAAGTGAAACATTACGCCTCATAAGAATTTTGATAAAGAACCAGCAAGCCAAAGAGTAGTCTAGTCTGTGATCGAGCGATATGAGGAGCAGCAAAGCTCTTCACGAACAGAGGGATAGAGTCAAAGCAGTCAAAGTCGTTATGAACCAATGACGAAGTTGAGTCCTCGAACTATGTGTGCATTGCTTGGGGAACTCGCACAGGAAGTCGTTGAACAGGTAAATCTACGAAATGTTCACAATATGGAAATATTTATTCAAAATGAGAATGCACATTATGACAATATGGCCAAACAACTAAATACCTTGAATGAAATCATGAACAAGTTAGTAAGCCAAATATGTCAACCAGTTGTACCCATAGGAAGTCATTTTCAAACCAAGACAATTGTGGGACATAATTTCCCACATAATTCCTCTGGTTTGAACCAAGGTCAAGGGTTAGAACCACCTTTCAAACTGTTTGGAAACTACTTGACGCTATAACTACTCACTTTCTTCGTGATGACTAACTTGTCATGAAACTGCCGTTATCAACCGTTTTTAGTGCTCTTTGTTGTTTAACAGCTTATAACCGAGATTCTTGGACCATGGGGTGTGATAAGGTTGCTCAATAACCGCTTCAATAACTGAACAAAATGCTATATTCATTTCAGATCTTGGGCGTCTCGAAGGCTTGGACGAGAATGAAACCGTCGTTCTTAGCGACATTGGAGTACTTCATTCTCTCAGACCCAGAGCATTTTGCATGCTTGAGCGATAATAGTCTTTTGCATGTGGGCTGTCATTATATTTTACAATGGTCTCATTCCTCAATTTTCCTAACTGGGCTCCATTTCTTGGACCAAATAATTGGGTCTGACTTAATAATTGGACATCATTTGATCATTAGGCCTCATTCAATTGGGTCTTATTTTATGTATGTCAATAGTAACCTTTTTATGAAACTCTTCAACAAGAAGCAAAAGTTATGTCAGACGTGTTGAAGACACTAACACAACACAACGCACATCCAGTGAGGCATTGACATTAGAGCCCATTATCATGAAGAAGAGAGAGAATAGAAATGGGATAGAATTGTTAAACAATAGCCCATTTGATAGGACATTTGAAAGGTTTAATTCTGAGACTAAATGGCTGCTTTTGAACATTTTCAAATAATTTTCCACATGTATAGTTTGTCGGACTAGAAGTTGACTTAATGTAACTTTTTCAGGAAACTCTTCTACAAGAAATAAAAGTTCTGTCAAACATACCCTAAGCATTTGTACAGTGACAACTATTTCTTTTTTAAGATTCTTTTGATAAACAGTAGCAAATGTTCAAATTTGAGAACATCTTGATCGAAAGGGGAGCTGATAATCAAGAGGGGTGAGGGGGAATCCCACCAATTTGAGAAAAAAGATCAAATGAGAAAGAAAAATCGAAGTTCTTTTTTCCCCACCAATAAGAACAATTTAATTTCCTAATGGCTGGTGGCATGTCGACTAATAACTCTGTTTACGGCGTACAGACAAAGAAGCCTCTGCTGCTACATAACAAGAAATTACTAAGCAGTTCTTCAATTTCAATCAGAAAAAAAAAAATAAAAGAAAAATATCTTTCTCGAAAAGAAAACAAAATAGAACAGAAGCAAAAACCTTGCTGGTGTGAGGTCGTTAGGCAAATTGCAAGGAAAACATGGAGAATCATCAGTCAAGCCATTTATCAGCATCAAAATTTAACCTGCAACTCCTTATCCTTCGATAGTTGGAGAGGTTCTTGCAATGCCGGATTAATAGGGAACAACATGCACTGGGCATATTGGGCCATTAACTGATCGACGAGCACCAGGGCCACCATGGCTTCCACCACTGGAACACCTGCATCATGACCAAACAATCATGAATATCCTATAAAGTCCAGTCTTCACTCTTTTTAGTTAATCCACTCCGTTCTAACTGCAGCGTCCAGATTTTCTTTCTTTAAAATAACATGTAATTTGAAAAAACATTGGGGTGTTAAACTGTTACAGTAAATATTTCTAAGATTCAACAAACTTAATCCAAGTAAAGCTCACTACCTCCCATACATATGTTTGGCTTACTTAAAAATAAGTTAAAAAGTTAATTTTAAGTAGCCTTTTGTTTCAAAAAGTATTTGGCTAAGTTGATTTTTTCTTAGAATCAGTAAACAAGCTTCCTTAATTTGAAAGTACCTCTGGCCTTACTCTCGAAATAACTTATTTTCAGTTTTGATCAATAGAATTACTTGCTATAAAACTAACTTATTTTCCTATAAGTAAACCTTTTAAGCTTAGCTAAACACGCTGTTGCAATGTAGTTGTCTCTCTCTTGGCCAAGCCTTATGCCCAGACAAACTCATTACTCATGCAAACAGACAACAAGTATTAGACTGCTACAACCAATAAATTATGACTTCTATGCACAGAAGTCATAAAGACATTACGATGCTAGTGGAAAAGATGAAATGTCATAAACAAACCTTGCGGAACAACGCAAGGATCACGGCGACCTCGGGCTATAATCTCTGTTTCGCGTTTGTATCTAGTCACAGTATTCTGCTTCCTCTGCATAAAATTAGAAATGATTCGTCAAATGTACTCAAATCCACAAAAGAAAAAAAGTTTATTTATTATAGCTTTGTAAGTACTGTAGGTGCAACATTTCATGTAGCTGGAAACATCAAAACTTCCATTCAAGAGATCATGCATCACTCAGAAG